TGGCACGCCCTTGCAAAGCACCTCGCCCTCGTGCAGAACGACCGCGCCGCAGCGCTCGCCGTCCTCGAGGAGGCCGTGGCCCACGTCCCGGCCGGCCGCAGGGGCGGCCTGTACGAGGCCTGGGGCGTCATGTATCTCAGGGACGGCGACGTCAAGAAGGCCCTCGACGTCTTTAGAGAGGGCGTCCGCGCAGACCCGTACGCGCCCCTGTTCGCCGCCCTTGCAGACTTACTGAGGAGGCTCGGTAACAAGGAGGACGCTAGGAGAGCCTACGAGACGGGCACCACTCTTTTTCCAAACCACCCCGCCCTGTGGAGGGCCTGGGCCGCCCTGGAGAGCAAGGAGAGCGCCCCACAGGTCGCGCGCGACGTCTGGAGGGTTGCCGTCTCCAAGGATCGCACCAGCTCCAAGGCATGGCGCATGCTCGTCAAGTACGAGGACAAGTGCACCACCTCCGTGCCCCACATGGTCGACTTGCTGTACGAGGCCGTCCTGGCCTGCCCCAAGGACGTGTCGCTGCGCCTGCACCTCGCCAAACTGGAGGAGCGCCGCAGTGGGCTCGCCGCGGCTCGCGCCGTCCTCAAGCCGGTGGGGGCCGCCCCAGACGACAATATCTTGCGCGCCATGGCCAAGCTCGAGACCGACGCCCGCGACCACGAAAAGGCTAGGGCCTACTATCGCCAGGCCGCAGACGCTGAAGCCTTGCAGTCTGGCAACTCCTCCCCGTACAACACATCCGCTCCCGTCTCCCCGCCCAAGCGCAAGCCCACCCGCAAAGGGAAGACCGTCAAGTCGCTCCACGCCTGGGCCTTGATGGAGGCCCGCCTGGGCAACCTCACCGCTGCTCGAGAGATCCTCGAGGAGGCCAAGGCCATCACGGAGCACGACTCGGCTATTTGGCGCGCTATCGGCGAACTCGAGGGACGCGACCGCAACTTTGAAAAGGCTCGCACGGCCTTCCAGAATGCCATCGCCATCGACCCGCATGATGCCCGCCTCTTCCTCGCCTGGGGCAAGATTGAAGCCCTCGCTGGCGACTTGGACCGCGCAGAGATGCTCATCGACAGAGTCGCAAACGCAGGCCCCAAGGGCACCGCCCCGACCCTGGCACCGTCGCAAACGCAAAAAATGATGCCTTCCGGAGGAGGCACCTCTGCCTCTCGAGCTACTGCCAATCCCAAGCCCTCCAGATTTCAGAATAACATCAATAACAATACCAACGTGGCTCTCACCCCACACCTCCTCGCCGACGCGTTGCGAGAGCGCGCCATTCTCGCCGCCCGTAACGGCCAGCTTGATGACTCTGTCACCCTGCTGACACGAGCATCTCAAATCGAGCCGGACTGCGCCACCGGCTGGCGCCTCCTGGCCTCGCAGCAGCTGCGCGTCAAGGGCATCGTCAGCGCGCGCGAAGTGTACAGAACAGGGCTGCAGCGCGTGGCGCAGTCCGCCAAGCCTAAGCTGCTGCACTGGTGGGGCCAGGACGAGCGGAGCGCCGGCGACATAGACGCCGCCCGTGAGCGCTTTCGCCTCGCCACTTGCGCCAACTCGGATTACATGTCGGCGTGGATGAGCTGGGGCCTGCTGGAAAAGAGCGAGGGCAACATCGCGGAGGCTTGCGACATCTTCGAGCAAGCGTCGAAACGAGCCGAGCGCGACCTTGTGCGATCCCCGTTCATCTTCCAGGCGTGGGGTCGGGTCGAGGAGCTTGAGCGGGGACGTGCGGAATACGCGAGTCAAATATTCCGTCGAGGTACCAACCTCGTCCCCACATCCGGCCCTTTGTGGTCGGCCTGGGGGCTTCTGGAGGAACGACGAGGGAATATTGAGAAGGCTCGCGAGCTGTTTGCGAAATCGTCAACCACGGATCCGACACATGGATCGGCATGGCACAGCTGGGCTCTGCTAGAAGCGCGCCGGTGCAACTACGAGCGAGCGAGCGAGCTTTTCAAAAAGGGCAACGAGAACGACGCGAGCAATGCGTCATTGCTGGCTTCGTGGGCGATGATGGAGAACAAGGAGCTTGGAAACATAAGCCGAAGCAGGGACCTGTTCGAAAGGGCAGTGACCGCGGATCCTTACTTTGCGCCCGCATGGCACGCTTGGGGGTGTCTGGAAATGACGGCGGGATCCCTTGAGAAAGCGCAGCAGCTTTTCCAAAAGGCAATTGAGGTACGCCCGGACGACCCATCCCCGTGGCACACGCTCGGGGTGCTGGAATCCGAGCACCGACATGATCACAAGGCAGCAATCAAGCACTGGAAGCGAGCGATTGAAGTAGAGCCTGGCCACGCACTGAGTTACCAGGCGTGGGCGCTGTTGGAGGGGAATAAGAATGGCAATCTCGAGGAAGCGCGCCGACTGTTTGAATACGCGATGCAAGAAGCGAAACTCAAGCAGGCGGACATGGCGATGCTACTGCAGTCCTGGGCATCCCTGGAAGAGCAGCATGGAGAGTTTGACCAAGCCCGCAAGCTGCTCCGCAAAGGACTGGAGGTGGACCGGCGCCGCGCAGAGACCTGGCAGAGTCTAGCGCTCGTGGAGAAGGCACGGGGCAACCGCGAAGTGGCTAAGCGGCTGCTAGCTGACGGCGTGGAGTCGACGTCGCCCTTGTCCGGCGCCGCGACCTTGTACGTGATCTGGGCGAAAATGGAGGCGGAGGAGGGCAACATCGGCGAGGCGAGGGACCTCTTCGCGGCGGGCGTCCGTGTCAACCCTAGCAACGTCAAAACTTGGAATGCGTACGCCGCTGCGGAGAACAAGTACGGCGATGCGAGCCGAGCCGCGGAGATTAAGTCCACCTGTGGCGCGCTGTTTGTTAGGCAGGATAACGCGAATGAGGACTTCAAATTGTAAATGTAGGTGCGAAGGGGCATGTCGTAGATTCTAATCTACGTTATCATAACATAAAAAATCTGCGAATTTTATTTCTTTTCAACTTTGATGTCCACAGTTTCTATTTTTCTTTGGTAGGTTGACTCTTTTCAAAGTTTTTCTAAAGTTAGAACCGAACAGAAAGCACTCAACGCAATGTTTCTATGCTACTGGTATCAAATTAGCTTACAGAAAGATGCGCACTGTGAGACGGCTTTTTCTTTTGAACAGCTTTATGTGCAATAAAAAATTGGTTTTCGCTAAAATTGATGAGCAAATGTTTTACCTGTTGCGATGGACTTCTAGTTGCAAAAAAAAAACAGAAGTTAAATCGCGCCTTGCGTTGTTTAGAAAAAATAAAACAACTCTTGTCCTCATATGAGGACTAACGGTCCAATAGACATAAAGCTGTTTTTGTTCTTTGTTTTTTTTGTTGTTGGATGGCGGGCGGGCAGTCTGTAAGCGCGTTAGACACACACTTTTGAGTGCAGTCGGGAGGCTGGCCGTGGGCTTTGCTTACTCCTTGCCTCTGGACGCACTTGCTCGTTCGCATACACCGCATATGCTTCTTTTCGGATGAGGAATGACATCTGAGGGACATCATGGCGTCTTGTCACTACAAATCCGCAAAGAGGTGTCCCATTGTAGGACGAGACAAAGTGTGCTTGTGTTGTTTCGGTTTACAGGGGGGGTAGCTCTATATCGCACTTTTGAATAGCGCATTACCGGATATATCGCACTGTTTCGGGCTTGACACGAAATCAGCCACGTGTATGACATTACACACGTGTCGCTCTAGAAGCCCCTAGTAGAGGCCGTACTGTACATGCGACCCGCACAGTACCTCCAACTTTGGCTTATGGCGACGGCGGCTGAGTAGTTCTGCCCAGTTCCACTTCATTGCCTCAACATAACAAAAAAATCTTTTTCGAGAGTATTTGCTACATCGCACTATCGGATATATCGCACTTTGAAGCGTTGTGACACTGGGGTGCGATATATAGAAGGTACCACTGTACCTCACTTTGAGCTCAAACCACGCCAATGCATTTGTTGCATTGCTGTCACGTGCAGTCTCATTTGCCGAAATGCGTCTTGCCTCAAGTACACGTGTAGCGGCGCGAGCAAACCGATCTATCAGAAGAGGCCCACTACCCTCCCTTCCCCCCCCCCCCCCCCCCATCACAAGACAATGTCATCATCCTCGTTTGCAACATGCAACCATTGTTGATCCGCTTGCGATCCTCTAGCCGGCGAGCGAAATGGCCCCCCATTCTTCTGCGTCCAATCCCTCACACTCTTCCACGCGCCTCCCTTACCACCTCCGACTCCAGCGTGAGCGCATGGCAAGCCCAACTACGCCTCCTCCGTTCCCGCGTCCAAAATAACCCGCGCACCAAACCCGAGCCCCTCTCCCTCGCCTCATCCCTCCGCTCGCGCCTCTCAACCGACGCCACCATCCTATCGCAGTCCTCCTGGCCATCGCGTGCCAAGCCCGCCGCGCCGCCACCGCGCACGCTCCGTCTCTCCCGCGACGGCTACAAACACTTTGGCGGCGGCCCCAACCACAGCTCCAGCCCGCACACCCCGTACGTCGCCTTCTTCTCCGCGGCGGCCGTCGCCGCCTACCTGTACGCAAACCTCGACTACGCCCCGTTCACGGGCCGCCGACGCATCCTGGGCATCTCGCGCGCCCAGGAGCTCGCCATGGGCGAGCACGCCTTCCGCGAGCTGCTGCACCAGTTCGACGGCCGCGTGCTGCACCCGCGGCTCCCCGCCTCGCGCCGCGTGCGCAGCGTCGTGTCCCGCATCGCCACAACCGCCCGCGCGCTCGACCCCGCGCTCACGGACGGCTTTGACTGGCAGGTCGCCGTCGTCGACGTCCCCGAGCCCAACGCCCTCTGCGTGCCCGGCGGCAGGATGCTCATCACCACGGGCTTGCTCCGTATTCTTCCCACGGACGATGACCTCGCCGTCGTGCTCGCGCATGAGATCGCACACGCGCTGAACCGCCACGGCGCCGAGTCGATGCATCTGCAGCGCCTGCTCATGCCGCTGCTCATCATCCTTAATCAGGTGTTTGATATGCGCTGGTTTCCGTCCGTGCTCGTTAATTTCTTCGTGTCGCTCCCCTATGGGAGGAAGCTCGAGTATGAGGCCGATGAAGTCGGCCTCACGCTGTGCGCAGAGGCTTGCTATGATCCGCGAGTCGCACCCGATGTTTTTAGACGACTCGGAGAGATACAGAACGAGAGGAGTGGTTCGCTGCTCGCGGATAAGATTGGACCGTTTCTTTCCACGCATCCACAGTCCAAGGAACGCGCGAAGCGACTCCGGGATAGCCTCCCCCGGAAACTCGACCGGTACAATAACCGGTGTGTCAGGCGTTCTTCACACCAGGAATTTTGGAACGAAACAAAGTTTCGATAAAAACTCGCCTTCTCTGCCGGTTGACACGCTGTCGTTCTCATGGAGTTCGAGAAAGAAGGCTTTGTCGTTAGAGCTGGCGGTGAGAAGAATTCATTTTTGAAAGAGTGATTCTGCCATAGGAGCGGTGCACTGTGCCGTGTTTTGTTTGGTTCTATTAACAACGGACTTGGGAGTGTGCCTGTCGATGCACTTCGATCAGCACTACCAGATCTCTACACAAACCAACAATTTTTAACTGGCGAGTGCTTCGTGGCTTGCATCAACAATACCAAGAACTCTTCGTGTCGCGGCACTGGGCGTTCCTAGTGTCATATTCCCAGTGCCATGCCTGAGTCCCCGCATCGCCTCACGTAAGAGATGCAAAGTGTATATGTAGATACTGTAGACTAACTTGGTTTCAGAAATGCTCTAGTGCTCCGCATCAGCAGAGATTTCTAAACCGTAGAAGTCAAAATGTAGTGGAGAGAAGGAGGGCTGCAGAGTCGTGATACTGTATGCGCCATCTGTATGGCCCCAAGTCTTATTGTGAAGGCACGATCGAGCCACACGTACGAAGATGATGCATCGCTTGGGCCGAGCTGGCCATTGACTCTACCATGTCCGAGATCACGAGAACCGCTGTTCCCACGTCATTGCCCGGTTTTGTGTTTCCATGCCACCATCGCATCAAAGCATGGTGTGATGGCTCAAAACCAGAGATGCGGATCCTCTAAGTTTGGCTGATATATTCATTCTATAAACTGCGAAATCTGTGAATTTTTCTGCGGCTCTCTTCTCAACTGCGAAGAGATCCGCGATTGTTGAAACAGAAGCGTGAAGCACGAGAGGTATGGAAATAACGGTGGAAACTCCTGCGCAAGGCATTTCCGGGTGACTAGATGCGGGAGTAGAAAGTTTTCTAGTAGACTGGCAGGTCAGGTCACTATTTGTTCAAATATGTATCTGCACAAAACTCTGATCGCAGGTGAGGCATGAAGGTGAAACGAGTCCCCTTCTAGCGGTTACAGGGCCATTCCACACCCTACCAGTCAAGAGCATTTCTGGCAAAGACAGGCAGCGAGCGTGACAGACACCAGCCAGAGGAGTGGGCGCCACGAAACAATTCTACCGTATTGAGTCAAAAACAGTGCCAAACCGGGAGCCAGCCACGCCAACTTTTGAATTTTCTACGTCGTGTGCGGAAAGCAGCGAGCAGCGTCGTGCGCGAAACTAGGGATGGGTGAGTAGCCTGGCGATTATTGGCTTTTCTACTTTCACCCAGGCAGATGCGCCAGGCCCTGCCCAGAGCGACACTGCAGCAAGGTCGATGGCAACATTTGATCTCCAGCTATGCAACAGGCGAAAAAAATTGCGAACGCTCTCGTCGCCGGGGTGCCATGCACAGAAGGACGTCCTCACTCCCGCCTGTTTCCTAGCTGACACACTGGACCATTGGATTAATGCGATGGTTTTCATGCATGGCATTCTATCAGACGAGGCGCAACATTGTACCGCTGACTGAATGCTGGCACGCACGATTGTCCCGTTCTAAAAAACGCAGGGCTCGAGAGCGAGCCCCACGAGGGCTTAGGGCACATCCCTGAGCCGCGAGGATGATCCAAAAGATACAAGCTGATTACTCCGCAGGGTATATCCAGAAAAGAGACCGGCCATCCCGTTACTGTGGACTCCCGTTAGGAGCAAAAGCAACGTCACGACAGCTGTCGAGATTTTCGTCGCGAGGTGCCGAAGACTTGAATTGCAATCAAATGTTTAAGTTGTGAAATATTCAAACCATCTGTTCACGCTGGGCCATGAGGGGGGGCGATGCATGCCAGTAAGTTGTTTTTGCAGGGCCACGGTGCACACACGAGCGCCGTGTTGATGTCTGCAGTGTGGCCCGGCTGAAGAAAACAAAAATACACTCTTAAGCGAAGGGCCCTCAATTCAACCACGCGGATGCTTGCTGTACTGTAGACTGCCAGCCCGACTGATCATGCACTTCAAATCAACGGCTTTGTCAGGACGGCTTCGTGCCGTGTGTCAGCTCAGAGCCGTATGAGGCACCAAGTAGCGTTAGAGTCGCCCTACTCGGAGCCCGTGTCGGCTGCTTACTCAGCTCCCTTCGACTCCGAGATTCTTGAAGGGTGGATTGTTGAGTTTTCGACGGTGCAGCCTGGTTTTAAAGTATATGAGTTCCAGAAAAAGGCAACTGCGCAACATTTGCACGGTACAGGCAACACGGAGCTCATCTCGAGACCTCAGATTGCGACAAGCTGGGAGGGCAACATTCTTCTACACCCGCTACCTGCAATCTTTCCAAAGTCGCAGTTGGCTCTGATTTCTAGGCACTTTTTGCTATATTGGTTTTTCTGAAAAGTTGAGCTTGGGCTGTTTTTTTCTTCAAACATACATCTATCGATAAACGTGACAAGCATGTACTCTCCAAGGCAGTTAGAGACTTACACAGTATGAGAATGTGTAGCTAGCCCATCGACTCTCACCGCGTGCGAGATGCACGTTTTTTTTCCGTTGCTCTAACCGTAGCGTTTCTGAAATAGGAACGGAGCAGGTTTGCACGCGACACAAAGCGTTGCGAGAACAAAAGTTTCAACGGTCTGTCCATGATGACAGGGTTGATATCAAAGCATCGGT